TGTGTGTGTGTGTGTGTGTGTGTGTGTGTGTGTGGCAGACTATTAGCGATCAAGTTCAAAGAGGCAAAAGATTCCTAGGACAAAGCTATAAATATGCTTATACTGTATATCTCAGTAATTTCATCTGTTTGGCAGCATACAAAACATTAAAATCATGAGACAGTAAATCTAAATTTATTGTCATGTATAATAAAAAAGTCAATTTAGTTGAAAAGTTTTCTTTTAATGAAAAGAGCTTTTAGTGAACGACAGACAATAACTGAGAAACGCTGCCATAAACTGACAGCTCTATAGCACAAATGTTAGCTATGTCATGCAAAAAAGCCCATGTCATAAACAAAACGCATACTCTGAACCCGGAATTAAACTACACGCGTCTCCGCTCCGCTCCGCTGCGCTGCGCAGGTCGCAGCTGTTCGTTTGTGTCTCAATTTATACAGACTCCGCTCCGGTCCGGTCCGACAGAGTGTGCAGGATGGAGATTGCGCAATAAATTCAGTGATAAATGTGGAAGTCACAGCAAAAAAATATTAATTCTGTGAAAGACGAACTCCAAACTCAGCTGAAAACATTGATATAAAAGCTTTTGCTACAGTATCTATGTTGAAACTATCTCTCTGTCGTCTTTCTGAAACTTCTGATTTCAAAATAAAATCCACGTGTATCGTGTGTGTACACGTTTCATGCTACATGTTTCCATCTGCTTCCCAAACAGAACGATACATTCTGACAGCATTTGTGTACAAATATATCCATATATTTATTAATATAGCTGCAATTTCGACATTATTCCGACAAACTGTACCGCATAAAAGTGTCTTATTTTGAAAATACGGACGTTGTGCTCATTTATTTTCCTGTTGGTGCAACGTAATCTTTAAAAATTGACTCCGGCACCGCTCCAGAGTCCGGCAGAAATAGGATCTGTTCTAATATTTCCGGATCGCCGTCCGCTCACCGCCACTCACCGCCACTGTGCGCAGCCACTCTCATTGACTATAATGGGTGCATATTTGCTGCGGAGGTCGGACCGGAGCCAGAACACATGTAGTGTAAATTAGGGGTTATTCTTCCTTAAATTTAACTATAAACCTGAATGTACCAACCTTAACTAACTGACATCTTATGTGAAGTCGTGCCTGCATGGCTGATTCTYCGGCCACAGGAGATCTTTGCATGCACGCAGCAGAAAGTGGAGAAATTGTTTATATCTAAATGTAACCAGAGTGAATCAAAGAGAAGCGAACACTCAAGCTGCCAGAGATCAGATTACAAATGCTGCTTGATGATTCAGTTTTTATTGATCACTTCAACACTTTTTCAAAAGGTTTTTCAAAAGGTTGGACAAAAAAAAAAACAACAACACTAACTATATAGGACTCGTTTACATACAGTAAAGTGTGGCTTTGGTTTGAACTTAAAAGTGAACTCTGCAGCTCAGTTTTAATCTTTGAACTAGTTTTTGTGTTGTGTGAWCTTTCACGACACAACATATCATCAACCTGTTCACTGCAATGAAATTTTTTTTTAGTGTGGGAAAGATGTATTTCAGCTCTAAGCTGTAATCAGAAAAAGTCAAGACTTACATTATAAAAAAGCCCTTTTTTTGAAGCTTTGTATAAAATTGTCTTCATCGAAACATTTTCACATTTGCTGCTCTCCATTGYGACACAACAGCGTAATGAGGGAGAAAAAACAAGGTGGTCATAGGTCAAAACTCCTTAACTGTGCGATTCAATCTTTTCATTATTGTATTATCTTGATAGATACCAGGTCAAGCTGTTTGATTCTTTGAAAATCGTCTAACATTGCCAATTGCTAACGCACTAACTTCCACTGGCAATTTATGAGAAAAAGCTAATTACCAAAATGCTAATTTTCCATTGGCAATTAGCAGAGAAAGCTAATGGCTGATATTAAGATACGCAAATGTGGATGAGTTTATCAGTTACCGCAGGGCTGCAGTTTTTCTACACACCACCATACACAGATGTATCCATCCAGGTTTTACACACACGCAAACCCACATGCACACTGTCACTTCTCACACACTTTCACAAACTTGCACACTCATCGAGACTCTTTACTTGTGCCTCATTAGTATGCAGAGAGGTGTGCCTGGGCCTATGAGACAAGTATATCCCTATGAGCTAAATGCCTGTAATCCTAGCCTAACGTCAGGCACACTAATACATGTGCACACCCACAAACACACACATTCTATGTTTCGTTGTTGGAGAATCATTTGCCCTTGAAACCAAGTAAAGCATCTCAATAAAAGCATCTCTTTCCATTTCTGCTTTACTTTCCGTCTTCTCTCCCTCCTGTCTGTCTGTCATGCTGCGACTTTCTCTCTGCCTTACAATACAAGTTCCTGTGCACAGCTACAGAAAATAAGACACTATTTAGTGCTCACAGATGCACCTCTCTGACAGCTCAGAACAAAACCCCGGGTAATAGTGGACTAGGCTTTTCACCGTGGTGTCATTTATCCATTTTGTGCTTGTCTAGGAACTGAAATTAAAAGCTTGGAAATTAAATTTGCCGGGCTTTGAAAGAGTCATCACGTCAAAGCCATGTGGGTGAGACGGATTAGCAGATGGCAAATTGCAGCCTGACACAGCTGTCTGACGGATTCTGACACAGACACTTTGTGCAGATATCCYGCATGAGTCTTTGTCAAATTCACCTGCAGATTATAACAAAAGCAGAAAATAAGAAACTATCACAGCAGCACACCAATGTTTGTTTTAAAATTAAATATATTTTTAAAGAAAAAAGCAAGGACAAAATTATGTATTAATTTGGACATATTAATTAGGGCATCTTTGGAAGCAAKAACTAAAAATAACATTTTCCCGCTTATACCTTTTTATGTTTTACATTGAGGATTTTAGACTATTTCTTTTAAATTATTAATTATTGTTGAAACTATATTTTGACATAGGTTTTAGGTTGCCTACAAAATACGTATGTGATACAGGGTTTTAAACTTTGCTAGAATTTTCTTAAATTTAATCTTTATTTTTATTTAAATTCTGTTTTACTTGCAAACTGTTGTGAATAAACCTATAGTTGTTAAAAACATCAGGAATTTTTTTTTTGATAAGAAAATCATTTTCCTCCTTACAAAGAACCCAAAAAAGTTTGATTACTGAGACCAGAATGTTCTATTTTAACAAGTCTGAAAAACTTGTTCTTAAAATTTGTGAGCTTTGCTCTAGTTTTCATAAACTCACCATGGCACATGGGCAAGGTGGAATAATGCTTAAACACTTCAGAACCAATAGGTACTCTTGAATGTGTTCTTGAAGGCACGTAACCCTAGGAATAGTTCCTTTAAAGATGTTCTTAGTTTATGAAATTTAAACTTAAATGTATGTCAAATAACTGAAGGGAAAATATGTGTTGCTATCTTAAAAGTCTTTGTCAAAACAAAATCTGAGAGGTAAGCCTCAGTGAAGTTTTAAAATATGGATCACTTTAAGTAGTGACTCTGAACTAGCTATAGCTCTTGCAAGCTCACTGAGAACTCGCTAAAACTCTTGCAAATAGCCAATACCTGTTGAGGTACTCACATTTTTATGTTTGATAAAAATAATAATGTTTAAAAACTTAAAACCTAATCATGGGGGGGAAAGGGCTAAAATCTGTACAAACTATATTCCTCATTAGGCACAGGCACAATAAAAAATATTTAAACATAAATTTCATTCAAAGTGTCAAACTTAAATATTATCCATTGT